TTCTGAATCCAGGGAATGAGTTTGCAGAATCAATTGCTCCCTTGGTAGATAATACAGTATAGGTATTGTTACCATCAACAAGAAATTCATTGCTGTAATTTTCATCTGGCTAATCAAACCAAAGAATCTTGCTTTGATTATTTCGTTGAAAAATACTAAAATTGTTAATGTATTTAAGATGTTTGCAAAGATTCTGAAATTGTTTTATAAGATAAATGCCTTACTCATAAATAATTGTTACATTTGATATAACGCCTTTCAAGTTGGGAGGACTTCTCAAATTGCTTCACAAGATTTAACAACAACTTGCTTTTATATAGCGCCCCTCATGCAGGGTAGTGATCCAGAGTTATAAAATGTATTTTGTAGGCAAATGAACCAGACAATTTGCATACTGCAATATCCCAAATTCAACAATGAAGTGAATGACCAATGATTATAAATCTAGGTTACTCGTGCTACTGCACACAACATTGTCAAATGGAGGCAAGCCATAGTGAGAGCCCTTTTTTATAGAATTTGGTGACTAATTTAATGCTGAAATGCCTCATTATCTTAGCCTTTTACATCACTGTCTTAAAGATTAGAATTCTGCAGAAGTGATGACATTTTGTAATTCACTTTTCATTTGAAAGCTTGTGTACTGTAATAAATTAGCTAAAGCCCAAATTTGTGAATCCTTCAAATCTCTGCACAATTTTAGATTTGGAAACAATGGCATTAAGATCGCAGCCATTAGACTTTCAGATCTCTGACTGCAACCAGCTTTACACTGTTTTTGCTTTTTTCTGGTGGCATCAAAGACAGACTTAGATGACATCAGAACAATTAGCTAAGTACTGTATGTGGTCTTAGCAAGTCTTGGTTCTCTCCAGCTCCAATTTAATCCACCTCACTCTGCAGAAATAGTGAATAAGTTTTACAACAACAACAACAAAATTACATTTGTATGGTGGGAGGACATCCCATGAACTTTCTATCATAGAAAGTTTGTAACACAGAATGAAAGCATGTTATCCATCATATACTGGTGGCATCTACACCCCCCATGAACTATCCACTTTAATTCAATTCCTAGTCTTTTCTCTGTGGTCATTACATTTTAATTCAATTCCTTTTAAACGCTATTAAGTGCTTTATGCAAAGGAGATGGAATGTAATATTTTTTCCCAACATTGAGGTTTAAATCAATGCAATCCAGAGATGATGTTGATTTTTTGAGGAGGGCTGTAGAGAACTTGACATTCATTAAAGAATAAGATTATTGTAATACAATGTTCAGATTTTTCGGTTGCCAAACAACAAATAATGGATCTTGTTTTATTTAAAGTTTTTAGGTAAGTTACTAAAGTTTCTTATTGTTTTATTGTAGCTGTATTTTTCTTTAAATTGTTTCTCAAAATGTACTTCTGTTCTGGAGCTCCCCTGTGCCTTGCTGAATACAAATATCAGATGTGTGGCAGAAGCACACATCTGATATTTGTATTCAGCAAGGCACAGGGGAGCTCCAGAACAGAAGAGCAATCAAAAAGATAATAACAATAATTCTTGCATTTGGTATACTACCTTTCATATCAGCAGAATGTCCCAAAGCACTTCATAGGATATATTTTGGAAAGTGGTGTAACCGCATTTTGTGGGCAAATGTGGCAGTCAGTTTGCACATAGCCATGTTCCACAAACAGCCATGAAGTAAGTGACCAATTTTATTTGGGGGATTGTTGGCCAGGACATAAGGAGAAACTCCCTTCTCTTTTCAAATTATCCCATGGGATTTTTAACATCCATCTGAACAGGCAGACTTGGTTTAAAGTTTCATCTGAAGGATGGCAACAGCCCCGTAGCACTGCATTGAAGTGTCATTTTAGACTATATGAATTCCAAATCCTGACATCAAGCTTGAACCTACATGTTTCTGATTCATTAGTGAGAGTGCTATCCACTGAGCCAGTGTGAAACTAGGGACAGACAAGAATATAGTAAAATAAATGTCCTTCTCATTTTTCTCTTCATCTCTGTACAGTACACCCACTTGTGAAATTTATCAGTGCCATTTGTGTTACAGTGAGTGTGCTACAGTGTTACAGGGAAATGTTATACTGAGTGTTGTTAATGAGTGTTACAGTGAGTGTTACACTGAGTGGCATTACAGTGTGTATTGTTACAGTGTTTTACACTGAGTTACAGTTTGTTATTATAATATGTTATAGTGTTAAAGAATGTGTTGTTACTGTGTCACTGTGACACTGTTGCAGTGTGTTATTAGACTGTGTGATACATTGTGTCATTGTGTTGTTACATTGTATTAATTAGTGGAACCATCCTCAATGGGAAGAGATGTGTGCCCGAGCTGCGGACAGGATGATGGTGGCAATGCTCTCACACTGAGATGCGTTGCCCACCAGGGAGCTCGCAGGGAGTTCCAGGTACCTACCATCCACCTAGTGAGGGCTCAAACCTGCGCTTGTTGGATGTTGAACTATCATCCTTGAGGGGGAGGTGAGAGGCTTCTTCTTGGAGCTGAACTGACTGCAAGGTGACATGCCTGGCAATGGAATATCAGAATTGTGCCAGCCATCTGGAGCGGTCTCAGTAGTCCAGTTCCTGAGTCAGGCGAAACCGCAGTATAACAGGGCAATGCTGGTGACACCATAGCCAGCCTGGCTCATCGGGAGGGCCTGGAAGGACAGATCAGTCACTGGGGATGGGGAGTCATCCCACTCAGCTCCTGTTAACCCTGCAAACCAAAGCCCTAAAGGGTAGGGTGGTCCTAGCTGAACAAGCAGCGGGAAAGCTTGCTGGACAGCAATATCAATGGCAAGCTGAACTAAACACAAAATACTGCAGATGCCAACCTACCTGGTTTTAGATGATTAGACTCCAACAGTACCCCAACACATACTCTGGGGTTCCCAAGGCTTGTCTTTTGCTAACCTGTGCCTAATACTTTCTGGAATTAGGTAAGCAGGAAGTGTCCCTCCGCAGATAGAGTGCAAATTCTAATCCAACAATCTATCTGTGGGCTTTCCATGTGTAGGTGGGATGCATGAAAATCTCAGCTTGGTTTGGATACTCTTAAGCAACAACAAAATTACATTTGTATAGTGCCATTCATGATGTTGGGCTAATGTTGGGCTGGCTCTGGGCTAGTGTTGGGCTGGCTCTGGGCTAGTGTTGGGTTAGTGTTGGGCTGGCTCTGGGCTAGTGTTGGGTTAGTGTTGGGCTGGCTCTGGGCTAGTGTTGGGCTGGCTCTGGGCTAGTGTTGGGCTGGCTCTTGGCTAGTGTTGGGTTAGTGTTGGGCTGGCTCTGGGCTAGTGTTGGGTTAGTGTTGCGCTGGCTCTGGGCTGGTGTTGGGCTGGTGTTGGGCTAGTGTTGGGCTGGTTTTGGGCTGGTGTTGGGCTAGTGTTGGGCTCGTGTTGGGCTCTGGGCTGGTGTTGGGCTCCTGTTGGCTGGTGTTGGGCTGGTGTTGGGATGGCTCTGGACTGGTGTTGGACTGGTGTTGGGCTGGTATTGGGCTGGTATTGGGCTCGTGTTGGGATGGCTCTGGGCTGGTGTTGGGCTGGTGTTGGGCTGGTGTAGGACTGGTATTGGGCTAGTGTTGGGCTAGTGTTGGGATGGCTCTGGGCTGGTGTTGGGCTGGTGTTTGGCTGGTGTTGGGCTGGTGTTGGGATGGCTCTGGGCTGGTGTTGGGCTGGTGTTGGGCTGGTGTTGGGATGGTGTTGGGATGGTGTTGGGATGGCTCTGGGCTGGTGTTGGGCTGGTGTTGGGCTAGTTTTGGGCTGGTGTTTGGATGGCTCTGGGCTGGTGTTGGGATGGCTCTGGGCTGGTGTTGGGCTGATGTTGGGCTGGTGTTGGGCTAGTGTTGGGCTGGTGTTGGGCTAGTGTTGGGCTAGTGTTGGGCTAGTGTTGGGCTGGCTCTGGGCTAGTGTTGGGCTGGTGTTGGGCTGGTGTTGGGCTGGTGTTGGGCTGGTGTTGGGCTGGTGTTGGGATGGCTCTGGGCTATTGTTGGGTTAGTGTTGGGCTGGCTCTGGGCTGGTGTTGGGCTGGTGTTGGGCTGGTGTTGGGCTAGTGTTGGGATGGCTCTGGGCTAGTGTTGGGTTAGTGTTGGGCTGGCTCTGGGCTGGTGTTGGGCTGGTGTTGAGCTGGTGTTGGGCTGGTGTTGGGCTGGTGTTGGGCTGGTGTTGGGATGGCTCTGGGCTATTGTTGGGCTGGTGTTGGGCTGGTGTTGGGCTGGTGTTGGGCTGGTGTTGTGCTGGTGTTGGGATGGCTCTGGGCTGGTGTTGGGCTGGTGTTGGGATGGCTCTGGGCTGGTGTTGGGCTGGTGTTGGGCTGGTGTTGTGCTGGTGTTGGGCTGGTGTTGGGATGGCTCTGGGCTGGTGTTGGGCTAGTGTTGGGCTATTGTTTGGCTATTGTTGGGCTGGTGGTGGGCTGCTGTTGGGATGGCTCTGGGCTGGTGTTGGGCTGGTGTTGGGCTATTGTTGGGCTGGTGTTGGGCTGGTTTTGGGCTGGTTTTGGGCTGGTGTTGGGCTATTGTTGGGCTGGTGGTGGGCTGCTGTTGGGATGGCTCTGGGCTGGTGTTGGTCTAGTGTTGGGCTGGTGTTGGTCTAGTGTTGGGCTATTGTTGGGCTATTGTTGGGCTATTGTTGGGCTGGTGTTGGGCTATTGTTGGGCTGGTGTTGGGCTGGTGTTGGGATGGCTTTGGGCTGGTGTTGGGCTATTGTTGGGCTGGTGGTGGGCTGGTGTTGGGCTGGTGTTGGGCTATTGTTGGGCTGGTGGTGGGCTGCTGTTGGGATGGCTCTGGGCTGGTGTTGGTCTAGTGTTGGGCTGGTGTTGGGCTATTGTTGGGCTGGTGTTGGGCTGGTGTTGGTCTAGTGTTGGGCTATTGTTGGGCTAGTGTTGGGCTGGTGTTGGGCTATTGTTGGGCTGGTGTTGGGCTATTGTTGGGATGGCTCTGGGCTGGTGTTGGGCTAGTTTTGGGCTGGTGTTGGGCTACATTGCGGTGTGAGCTTTGTGACGTGTGAATGGGGGGTGGGGTCTGTGACGTGTCGGGGTAGTGATGGCTGCCGGACCCGGGAGCGCGCGGAGCCTGATCCAGTTCATCAGGACTCTGGGGGAACTGAAGGTGAGCGGCACCGACCCCGCAGCTCAGACAGGCAGCCCCGGCCCAGGGCATGGCCGCCACCTGTGCTGCTGCAGCTGCTGCTGCTGGAAAGGCAGCGCTGAGTGGATCCAGCCTTTGAGTGCGATTGAGACAGTGCAGGAGTTTGCATCTTGTGGCTCTCAGTCCCCTTCACATCCTGTTCCAGTGCAGATCATCCTGACCCTGGACCTCAGGTCATCCGAAAGGGAAAGGGTCTTCACTCACTCCGGTGCTTTCACCACCGCGGGGAAAGATCATATCTTTGAAAGCCTCACTGTTTGTGCGAGTTTTAAATCGGTGAAATATGACAATAATAACAGTAACAACCCTTGCATTTGATACAGCGCCTGATCACGTCTTCGAGGCGTCTCAAAGCGCTTCACAGACTATACTATGACTGTATATTTTGTGGGTGCAACGCGGCAGCCAATTGCGCGCAGCACAGAACCACAAACAGTCAGGGATTGAATGACTAAATTATTTAAGCTAAACAGGACTGTGAAGTCAGGAAACCTGCCTAAAGTTTCGCCCTGCCTGGGAATCAAACCCGGGTCCTCTTGCTTTTGAGGCGGGTGCCCTAACCGATACACGACTGGAACTCTACAATACACTACCGGACTCCACAGAATAATAATTCTTGCATTTATTTAATGCCTTTCATGTCAGCAGGCTGTCTCAGAGTGCTTCACAGGATTTAGAGAAAAGGGTAGTTAGTGGCTGTGTATTTGTACACAGGAGGGAACACATCCGCGCCACAACTGGCACCGCCTTCCACCACCTCCGGAACATCGCCAGACTGCGGCACAACCTCACCCCTCACGCGGCTGAAACTCTGGTCCACGCCTTTGTCACCTCAAGGCTGGACTATGGGAACTCTCTCCTCGCCGGCCTTCCCGCCACCTCCCTCCACAAGCTGCAGGTCATTCAGAACTCTGCAGCTCGTGTACTGTCCCGCACCAGGCTTCGTGACCACATCACTCCCACCCTCGCTCGCCTCCACTGGCTCCCCATCCCCCAGAGGATTGATTTCAAGATCCTCATCCTCACCTACAAGGCCATTCACGGCCTTGCTCCCTCCTACCTCTCCATCCTACTATCCCCCTACCTACCTGCCCGTACCCTCCGTTCCTCTGGCTCCGGTCTGCTCCACATCCCCCGCCCCAACCACCCTACCATCGGTGGTCGGGCCTTCAGCCTCTCAGCCCCGAGGCTCTGGAACTCTATCCCCCAGTGCCTTCGCCGCCTCCTCCCTTTCCTCCTTCAAGGCCGGTCTCAAAACCTTTCTCTTTGACCGAGCCTTCAGCTCCCCTCTCGACTCTCTATCCCCTCCTCGCTCCCTCCCTTCCCTCCCCTCACCCTGACCATTTCCCCCCTGCTCGGGTCCCGACCCAACTGTCCAGCGCCTTGGGACGTCCTCCCGACGTGAAAGGCGCTCTGTAAATGAAATCTTGTTGTTGTAGGTAAACAAAGCAGCTGATTTGTAGACAACAATGCCATACAAGCAGTCATGCTGTGAGTGGGGGATTGTTGGCCACGATGCTAATAGAAATTTCCTTCTCTTTTCGAATAGTGCCATAGGATCTTTTAATGTTCACATGTCAGACAGGCGAGGCCTCGGTTTAATGTCGCATTGATGGTACCTCCGACAAATGCATTGCTACCACTACACTGGAGAGCCTTCTTATACTGTATGAGTTCAAAGTCAAGATGTAGGGCTTGAACCCACAACCTTCTGACTCAGAGGCGAGAGTGCTACCAAGTGAACCAAATTGACACCCATTTACTAAACCTTGTAATCGTAATCCCATATGTGATTCAGTTTCCCTTTATTGCAGTACTAGCTATAACATGTTGCAGCTTCGCTTGCAATCAAAGGATCCAATATAGAATGTAGATTGACACACAGATAGACACACATTTTGTCTTTATCTATAATAATAATAATCCTTGCATTTGATATAGCGCTTTTCACGTCGGGAGGACGTCCCAAAGTGCTTCACAGAACACATTGTAAAGTGAATTGACTGTATATTTGTGGGCGAACACGGCAGCCAATTGCACACAGCAATGTCCCACAAACAGTCGTAGATTGAAAATGACCAATTTTATTATTGTTTTGGAGGGATTATTATTAGGCGTGTGGAGTAAGAAAACTTGCCCAAGGTTTCGCCCTGCCGGGAATTGAACTCAGGTCTCTCACTTGCAAAGCGAGTGCTCTAGCCACTGAGCTACAGGACTCCACACATATACTCATGTGGGAGGACTTTGTTCTTAAGTTTAATTTAATGGGCCTTCTCTCTTGCATTTTCACTTATCCTTGAAAGGTTTGATTTTTGCTTAGGCTTCTTTATAATGCTAAATATAAATAATAATCCTTGCATTTGATATAGCGCTTTTCACGTCTTCTAGACGTCCAAAGTGCTTCACAGAATATACTGTAAAGTGAATTGACTGTATATTTAAGTTTTGTGTTGTGAACGCATAATTTATAATCACTGGGACGTCCTCCCGACATGAAGGGTGTTTTAAAAATTGTCGTTGTTGCCGCAGCTTAGCTTCGTCTGTGTTCTTTATTTTGTTCCCACCGCTTGGCTCCGTGTGCGCTCTGTGACACAGGAAGCCACAGCGCCACGGTTGGCCGGTGCGGCCACCAGGTGTATATGCAGTGTGTGCATACATACGTAGGTGCTCTATGACGTACGATGCCACAGCCCGACTTTGACTCAGCGGCCACCGGGTGTAACTGTAGCGAAAAACGCAAAACTGAAATAACTCATAAACAATAGGAGATACCCGAAAACAAATATGCCCATGTCATTCAGAGAATTCAGAATATTACTGCATAACCAAAATGTTGTTCTGTTTATAAGATGCTGCTGTAGGAATGTTGGGTCTGAATACCAGTTGGTTCTGCTTATATTTATTTAAGGTATAAGATGCTTTGTATGGTATTTGGAAGTCAGACCATACAGTGTGAATTGACACTGTGTGTCAGCTTGGCTCAGTTGATTGCACTCTTGTCTTTGAGTAGGAAGGTTGTGGGTTCTTGCCCCACATCAGGACTTGGAACTCATATAGTCTAAGATGGCACATCAGTTCAGTTCTAGGGGTGTGCTGCATTGTTGGAGGTGCCATCCTTCCAATGCAAAGTTAAACCAATGTCTTGTTTGCCTATTCAGATAGATGTTAAGGATCCCATAGCACTATTCAAAGAGAAAAGGAAGTTTCTTCCAGTGTCCTGGCCAGCAATCCTCCAGAATACAATTGGTCATTTGCTTTATAGCTATTTGTGGGACATGGTTGTGTGCCAATTAGCTCCTGTGTTCGCCCGCAGAATACACATTCACTCCACTTTGCAGTATATCCTGTGAAGCGCTTTGAGATACCCTCATTCATGACATGAAGGGCACTATACCAAATGTAATTATTATAGCAGTACTACCATTGAGTAAATGTTTGCAGATTTAAGAGAAATGAGAGTCGATGTAATTGAAATGCCTGGAAGTCTGAACTGTGTCAAATAACCATATGCTTTTCTGCAGCGAGTACCTCGAACAGGTTGGGTATATAGAAATGTGGGGAAACCAGAGAGTGTGTCGGATCACATGTACAGAATGGCTGTCATAGCTTTCCTGGTAAAAGATGAGAAAATAAACAAAGACAGGTACCTCAGTACTTAGTACTGTCTTTCATCTAATCTATTGTTTAATTGATTTAAACTGCATGAAATGTCATTATGGTACTACCCAAAATTGCATAACCCCATTTTGTACACTTAACAATAATATGAGGGATTCTAAACCCAACCATGTAAACTGTGATCTTTAGTAATCTGGCGCCTTGCATAAAACGTTGAATGAATGAGATATGGAACAATACTTTTCATTCTTTACTATATAATAATTAGAATAATAATTTCTTCTTCGCAGATGTGTAAGATTAGCCCTGGTTCATGACATGGCAGAATGTATTGTTGGTGACATAGCGCCAGCGGACAATATCAGTAAAGAGGAAAAACACAGAAGAGAAAAAGTAGGTCCGAACAGAAACTTCCTCTGCATGTAGGTAATTGGTTGATTTTGCTACCATGTAGGGCAAGCACATTTTGATGCAATGTGTTACATTTTCCTACAGGAGGCAATGGAACATCTGACTGGACTCTTGAATGAAGATGTGGGAAAAGAAATATTTGACCTTTGGGAGGTGAGCTATGGTTCAAATGAGATTTAGAGACATATTAATACATTATACAGTATGTATACTATGATAACACTGCTCAGGGTACATCTCAGGACCTATCTCTTTGACTGCACTTTCGGTCATCTTTCCACTCTCCACCCTCTTTGGCTCCCACCTCCAGCTCAGATGTAAAGCCAGTATTGTTAAGCACCTTGGGACATTCTCCCGAAGTGAAAGGCAATATATAAATGTTAATTTATATTGTATTGCTTTATTTAATGGTCTCATGGTTTAGGTCATTGACTAACGTTTAGGAATATAAGAGAGGTTTTAAGAAAAATGTAGATAGCTAATAAATGGATGTTCTTTGTGGCAGAATAACAGCAGAAAGGTCCCAGGTTTAATTCCTTGGCGTATACTGAATTAACTACTTAGGCTTGTGGTAGTTGACCTCAGTGCTCCTGAGAAATAAACATGTCAGGCAGGGTACCTGCTTCCAATTAGCAAGGACTGTCTGGTGTAGATTGTCTGGTGAGCACAGCTATGTTGCTTTCAGTTAAATGGATAAATAAACGTTGCTGTCCAGTCTCGCAGATGAAGAGTAGCCACCACTGCCCCTTGGGCTTGGAGCCAGACTGCTGCCACTACCATAAAGTGGAGCTTTTATCCCAGCTGAGTGCAGATAAATACATTGACGATCAATCTCTAGCTAAACTCTCTCCTTATTTCATATCAGCTTTGAGTATTGAACCATCAACTTATAGTTACAGAATTAAGTGGTGTGCGTGTCATTAGTTACTGATGAAATGTAATTATTCTTGTACAACACAAAATGTTTGTCTCTGAATATGGCATCTCTTACTTGTACCAGGTACCAGTGAGCATGCTGTGTCTGACAATCTAATGGAAGTACTGATTGTACCTGTCCACAGGAATATGAGAATCAGTCAAGTTTTGAAGCCAAGTACGTGAAAGAATTGGATCGCTTTGAGATGATTATGCAAGCCTTTGAATATGAAGAGCTGGAACCAAAGCCTGGCCGATTACAGGACTTCTTTGACTCAACAAAAGGTTTCTATTTTATATTACTTGAGGCATTATGGGATTCTTTATGCACAAAATTGTTCTTTCTTGAACTCCATCCTGCAGTTCATCCTTTCCCCACCTTTAACAACAACAAAACTACATTTATAAGGCGCCTTTCACGTCGGGAGGACATCCCAAAGCGCTGAATGGTCAGGTGTCAGGGCCCGAGCATGGGGGAGGGGTGGTGTAGGTGTGAGAGAAGGCAGAGAGATGGGAGGGAGACCAAGGCAGGGTCGAAGAGAAGGGTCTTGAGACCCGCCTTGAAGGAAGCAAGGAAGGAAGGGAGGCAAAGGGACTGTGGGATGGAGTTCCAGAGAGTGGGGGCAGAGAGGTTGAAAGCCCGACCACCGATGGTAGGGTGGGTCAGGTGGGAGACATGGAGCAGGCCGAAGCCCAATGAATAGAGGGAGTGGGCAGGTTGGTAGGGAGTCAGCAGGTCAGAGAGGTAGGAGTGGGCAAGGCCATGGATGGCCTTAAAGGTGAGAACGAGGATCTTGAACTCGATCCTCTGTGGGATGGAGAGCCAGTGGAGTCGGGCGAGGGTGGGAGTGATGGGGTCGCGGAGCCTGGTGCGTGAGAGTACACGAGCTGCAGAATTTTGGATGATCTGCAGCTTGTGAAGGGAAGAGTTTGGAAGGCCGATGAGGAGAGAGTTCCCATGATCGAGCCTTGATGTGACGAATTCGTGGGTGAGGATTTCGGCAGCCTGAGGGGTGAGGCAGTGGCGGAGTCTGGTAATGTTGCGGAGGTGCTGGTAGGCAGTGCCGGTCATGGCGCGGATGTGGGGGAGAAAGGACAGTTCAGGGTCAAACAAGACACTCAGGTTCCTGACTGGTTTAGTGAGGTTGAGTGTGCAGCCGTGGAGGCTGATGCTGCCAGCGCCTGAGGTGCGGAGGCGCTGGCACAAGCCAATCAGGAGGGCCTCGGTCTTGCTGATGTTGAGTTGGAGAAAGTTTGCCCTCATCCAGGACTTGATGTCGGTCAGGACCCCAGTAGTCCTGGAGTTCAGGGTGGAGGCAGATAGGTAGAGTTGGGTGTCATCCGCATACATGTGGAAATTTACCCCATGTTTGCAGATGATGTCACCAAAGGGGGAGCACGTAGAGGGTGAAGAGGGGACCGAGGTCAGAGCCCTGAGGAACACTGCACAAGATGGTTCGGCGGCTGGAGGAATAGCCGTTTGCTGCGACGAAGCGGAGGCGGTGTGAAAGGTGGGACCTGAACCAGTCGAGGACAGAACCTTGAAGGTTGAGGTGGGAGGAGAGGTGGTGGAGGAGAATTGAGTGGTCCACGGTGTCAAAAGCAGTGGAGAGGTCGAGGAGGACAAGGAGGCAGAGGGAGCCCTGGTCACACATGGTCAGGATGTCGTTTGTGACCTTGAGCAGAGCAGTTTCAGCGGAGGGGCTCATGGAGGGAGTGAGAGGAGAGGAAAGAGTGAACCTGGGAGGCAACGGCTCTTTCAAGGACCTTGGATAGGAAGGGGAGATTTGAGATGGATAGATAGATAGCTGTGATGGGTCGAGGGAAAGTTTCTTTAAGGTGGGGGTGATAATGGCTGTTGAGAGGGGGGAAGGAACAGTGCCAGGTGACAGGGAGAGGTTAATGATGTCGGCAAGTAGTGGGACAAGGAGGTGGAGCTGGGATTTAAGGAGAGGGGTGGGGAGGGGGCATTTTGAAGGAGGGCCAGCTCGGGACGGGGGCGGCAGCAAAGATATGCACGCTGAGACGAGAGGCGGTGGATTTAGCAGGACATTGTCAGCCTGCAGGAGGCTGTGGGGGCTAGAGGTGGCGCAGAGGGGGGAGGGCGCTCATTGTGGTTAGCAACGAGCAGCCTGCAGGGAGTGGGGGGGGGGGGGGAAAGGGAGGGAGGGAGGGACGGACGGAGACACTGTTACAGACTATGCTGTACCTGCTACCAGTGATTCAAACCTGGCGGGCGGAAGTGAAGTCACGCAGAATGGTGGGAAAATCTTGAAGTCCAAAATGGCGGCTCCCCCTGGCCAGCTGATGGCCACCGCTCAATCCCCACGACACCCACCCCACCTCAGGGTCCACGAGACCCCAGCCCAGCCTGCAGCTACCGGCCCCTGCCTCTGGCTAACGCTGGTCCCAATCCCCGGGAGACCAGCCCTGTGACAACCCGCCGCTGTCAGACTTACCTTCCATGAGTTTCGTTCGATTTACCTTTTGAGGCCCTGGAGATGTTTTGATACACCACTTGTACTTATATAGCGCCTACCATGCAGGGTAGCATCTCAGAGCGCTTAACATTGGCAGAGGTTGAGTCTGAGCCAGGGGGAGTGGGGGGGTGATGGGGAGCTAGTGGAGCCTGGCCAGAACTGGTGAGAATGGGGTACGGAGTTTGGTCCAGGTCAGTGTGCGAGCAGCAGAGTTTTGAATGAGCTGGATCTTTTGAATAGCGGGATATGGAGACCGGCGAGGAGTGCGATGAAATAATCCAAGCGGGAGGTGACAAATGCATGCATGAGGGTTTTCCGCTGCATTTGGGGTAAGGTACGGTTGGAGGCAGGCAATGTGGTGGAGGAAGGACAGCTGGGGGTCAAACTGGTCGCCTAGATTGCGCACTGGTTCAGTGAGTCTGAGATAGAGCCCAAGGAGGTTCATGTTTAGATCCGCAGGAGTGAAGATGTTGACGGGAGCCAAAGGGTATGGCTTCTGTCTTGTCCCACGTTCAGCTGCAGGAAGTTTGCACTTATCCAGATAAGCTGATAGAACATCAGTGGACCTGGAGTCGATGCTGGAGGAGGCAAAGTAGATTTGTGTGTCATCCGCATACATGTGGAAGTTTACCCCGTGTCTGCGGATGACATTGCCAAGAGGGAGCATATAGATGTGGAAAAGAAGAGGGCCAAGGATGGAGCCCTCTGGTACCCTGCTGGTGACTGAGCGGGGGCAGGAGGAAAAAAACATTTGCTGAGATGAAGTGGAGGCGGTTGGTTAAGTAGAACTTGAACCATGCGAGTGCGGCCCACTAAAGTGGATGAGGCGAGGCAGTGGAAGAGGATGATGTGGTCGACTGTGTCGAACTGGACAGAGAGATCCAGGAGGACGAGGAGGCAGAGGGAGCCCTGGTCACAGAGAGGGAGGACGTCGTTTGTGACTTTGACAAGCGCCATTCTATACTGTGGGCAGGGTGAAAACCAGACTACAGGGGCTCGAGGAGGGAGAAGTGTGTCCGAAGTTGAGCTGCAACAATGATTTCCAGGACTTTGGCAAGGAAGGGTAGGTTGGAAATGGGATAGTAGTTGAGAGATCAGAGGGATCGAGGGTGTTTTTTTTTTGAGAGGAGTGTGATGACAGCGGGTTTCAGGGGGAGTGGAACAGAGCCTGAGGAGAGACTGGTTGACTGTGCCGGTCAGCAGGGGGTAGAGGAGGGGGAGTTGAGTGACCAGCAGCTGGGCGGGGAGGGTGTCGAGGCAGAAGATGGTGAACTTCATGTGGGTAATTGTGGTTGAGAGGAGAATGGAGAAATGGAATCAAAGGAGTGTAAAGTGGGGGAAGTGGCAGGACCCGTGGCGGAGGGAGAAGACGGGGTGTGGATGATCTGGGAAGTGGATATCCGGGGAGGCAGGGGACTATGCAGCCAAGTGGATGTTTTCAGTTTTTGAGGCGATTAAGTCTAGGACCTCTTTGCACTTGGTGTTTGATGCGAGGATAGAGGGAGCTAGAGGGGAGGTGCACGGAGAAGGTGATGGACGGTAGGAAACACCATCACTATATCAAGCGCAATAATTATTTTAAATTCTGAAGATTGTCACGATATCTAGTATACTATAATAGTGCAGATGGGTTGAATGGCTTTTTACTTAACGCTACCTTACATCACAATGAACTTGTCTTATAGGAAAGTTTCATCACCCAGAAATTCTTCAGCTGGTGACGGCTTTAAACACAGAGAGGAATTCCAGAATAATGGGAACATGTATTTCAGCCCCACCAACAGCTCAGGAAAGTGAGCCCAACATATTACCTCACAACACCTGAAACTTTGGTTTAACGAAAGCAGTTAAATACTTTGTAAAAAAAAAAGTATAAATAAACAAATTAAACCCTGGGAAATCAGTCTGCATTGTAGAATAAACTGAGAATTAAGGTTTTTCAGTTATAGAAATTCTAGTTTTTCATTTTCAGTTCTGAGCAACTACATGGTTTATTAAAATCAATCCATTGATGCTACATTTTGGTGAAATATAATATTGATACCTGGGATGACAAAATTGAGATTCTAAACAAGCAGATGCAGCTGAGAGCTGAGCTAGGAGAGGTCTCTCAAACTACAGGTAATAATAATATTTCCAAAGGAAGAAAAATAACGGAAAAGAACCAAAACAAAAACTCCTGTGTTAAATTCACTGGAGTATGGTGCTGAGCCACTGCTATATTAGGAGGAATGTCTGAGATTATGTGGTTAGTCTTACCTAGTGAAGCAGGTAAAACATCTGGTATTTTTATTCCGATATAGTTTTATAAAGATGTGGATTTGAGCAGATTAACTTATATAAAATCAGGCAGACACACTTTTTAAGTACAATATAACTTTATAAACATATTGACTTATAGGTGTGCTTACTAAATTCTTTTAACAGTTGCAAATCTCCACCGGCCAAGCAAAAAAGTTTCAGATTATATATTTCTGAAGTACAATTTGAAGATTATATTTAACAGGCTACTAAAATAGATTGTTTTAAACAGTACATTTTGTAAACAGTACACAAACATTCAGTAAATCACCACTAAACTAAATGATGAAAATCTATAGGTCTTCAACTCATTAAGATAAATTCAAAACACAATTATAATTGCTCCTCCAAGAGAGCAGACCAGATGCACAATTCTGGTGGGAGAAATGATTGATTAATTGCCAGATGAGAAAGACTAGAGTAGCATTTCTGTGCTTGAAACAAAATGCAAGATTTACATAGATTATTTATTCAAAAATTCTACGAATTTAGGAATGGTTATAGTGTCCCAAAATTATAGTTCTATTTTTAAGGGGAAAAAAAATTGAAGGACGTTTTTTCCTGAAATTGCAAGGCAGAAGAACTAAGCATAGGTTGGAAAGTTTCAAATTACCTTCTTGTACTGAAGGTTAACCACTCACCTGTACCTGTTGTCGACTTGAGTGGAATCAATCTTGAGAACAATATCTAACATTGTTAATATTACTTTTTAGAGCACTAACTGGAGCAAGTGTTTTTCAGAAAACAGCTGCAAAGGATAATTTAGTTTACATAAATGACTTAATTCACACTGTTGCGATAACTATTTTGACATTGACCTCTTTCTTGTAACAGCAGTAGCATCAATGACTAATTTCTCCAGACACTTTTTATCCTTCACTTGCTGGGTCTCCAATTGAGAATGGGATCATCGAACAAATCTCAGTGTGTGTGAGAGAGACCAAACCATTAACTACTACCTCTTTCTGCAATTTTGATTGACTTTTCAGATTTCTCCCTTTTCCATTGACAAACTTTGGGATACAACTTACAAATTACTCAACTGTTGCCTACTTGTAAGTCATTAGATCATTCATCGCTGAAACGCTACCCCTTGTAAAGGGTGTTACATAAATGCAAGTTGTTGTTGGCCCCTTACAAAAAAATCTCGCATAAATTGAGACCAAAAAAAACTCACGTCAATCAAAATCCCTTCTGTCCAATCCTAAAATTCAGCTGAGTCCCAAAGATAGCCATTCATACATCTCTGAAACTGAAATCATGCACTTACACAAAATTAAGATTTATACAATATGCAGCTGTGGTTTCTAATTCCTGGTTGTTTAAACATTCTACACCACATGGTGAGGGAGGACTGAGGCAACATTGATGACGTGATGTTACATCTTGTGTAATAATAATAATCCTTGCATTTCATGTAGCGCTTTTCGCGTCTTCTAGACGTCTCAAAGTGCTTCGCAGAATATACTGTAAAGTGAATTGACCATATATTTGTGGGCAAAATGCGGCAGCCAATTGCGCATAGCAATGTCCCACAAACAGTCATGGATTGAAAATGACCAATTTATTATTGTTTTGGAGGGATTATTATTAGGCGTGTAGAATAAGGAAATTTGCCCAAGGTTTCGCCCTGCCTTGTGTGGTGTACATTTCACAGATATGAACAGACATCAAGGGACCATGTTGTAAGGATGGTCAAGATGCCTACCTTGATGTTACTTCCTGCCCAGGAAATGAAGTTAAGCACAAGCATCTTTAACATGCTCCTACCTTACAATCCGGTTTACAACTTTAGAACTACAGCACCTGCCATTTTCATTTTCAGCACCTCAACGTCTAGCCACTCCAATTCTTCTTTTGCACATGTATAAAGTCTAGTTTGAGCGAAAAATGGTTCCCATGGACGCCGGCACACATACAGAGAATCCCGAGTGAGCACAAGGGACGAATGTACGAGAGACAGTGTAAGAGTGCGAGTGGGTGAGGTAATAGATAAAGGAAAGGACAAAAGAATGTTCATGAGAAGAGTGAATTACATACTAAGAGATGTAAGAGAAACAGAAAGAGTCTCAGTGAAAGGGAAGGAGGACCAAGGAGAGGAAAAGTGAGAGTGGCTCACTCCCGATCAGTGTTCAGCACACTCTATAACATGCTCTTGACACATTACTGTATTTAAAGGATTCTATATAAATCCAAGTTGTTCAGGTGGAAAGCAACAAGTGAGTGTTACAGAGAGTACTAGAAAGAGTGACATACAAATAAAGCCCACAGTGAAATGGGGACGACGGAGACAAACAGGAATCGAAGGAGAGAAAAGCACAAAGACAAACAGAACATGGACTCATTCACAAAGTAGTTAGGGTCATTACCAACAGCTCGTTCAAAGACTTTCGCTTCCAAATAAGCCCACCTCCAAACTGCCCATCCTGAGATGCGCCACATTGCTAGCATATAAAGCAGTGCATAACTACACCCTCCNAAAAAAAACCTCATAAATGTTTTATAATAAATATATACTTGTCAGAACATCTCCAATGTTTTGGTAAAAGAAATCATACATTCTGAACTTTTTCCCCTGCATCTTGGAATGTCACCTTACTGGAAGAGTCAGGTAGTGCAACAAAGCCCCAAGAGGTTATTCTTTCATGGCACTCGGCCCATTTTAAAAAAAGTGCAATTATTTAATTTTACTGCAAAGGAGTTTGTTTTATAGCATTCCATCACTGCAGGCAAGTTGTAAATAGATTGGGTTCGAAGAAATAATCCTAATCTGTAGTGTATTTACATGCAGTTTTTAAAAGTTTAAGGTGAATATAAATGAAATAGATTGATGTGTAGCAACAATTTTTAGACAAAAACACAAACAATACAATATATTAAATTAATTAACAGCCAGTAGTTATACATCCTCAGAACAGTGGCTTTTAAAACATTTTAAAAATACAAACTGGTTTTGGTCCAGAAACATAAGAATGCAGTAAATCATTGCCAAACTGTACAAGTTTTCTTTGATGCAAATGGAGCTCTGAATAATATGCACCATCACAAAAGATACACCAAAGAACATAGTGTGGAAAATAATTTGCTATGAGAAAGATGCAGCTATCCGCCCTTTCTTCTTTTGGTTTTAGGATTGGAGAGGCCATAATGCCAACTCTTAGCATTCAGGTTGTCAGTCTACCTGGGCGTAGGTAGATGTAGTGAAATTTTAAATAAAATCAATCAAGGTTTTCATGTTGAATCTCTAAATCTGGTTAAGTTATTTGAGATTCATGGACTCCTCATTCAGCCGGTTTCCTGGTGCAGGTTGTTGGAGACTGGCATTAGCAGTAGAATTCAGAACATCTTCAAAACTCCCACCGCTGTGGACGGGCACTCCAACCCTGGACTTGACAGGATGTTAAATTAGTTGAACAAAAATCAACAACATCAAACCTGTGCATTTCTAAATACATTGCAGTTTGTTCAATACCATCATTTGTAGTAACTAATGTTGGTGGGGCTGATTTGTGTATTGTACATAAGCAAAAGCAAAACGTAGGCTTAAGTGATCAGCTCACTAAATCCAAGAATATTTTCATAATTTTATAAAATGTCTTCGCGTAAGTCACATTAAATGTAATGGTCACAACGGATATGACTTATGTGAGTTTTACTGTAAATTTAAAATTCACCCACACTAAACTGGCTCCATTGGTCTTCAGTATTATATCCTTTCATCAACTGCAAAAAAAAAGCCTAAAAAACAGTTTCCTTGTCCAATGGATAATGAGAACTAGTGAAACAAGCAAAACAGGTGAGTTTTTAAAATGTTGAATTAGCTAGAGGGACAATGAATGGATAGAATAGGCAGAAAAGGATTAAAGATATTTATAAATTGTTTTTGTGCCAACTTGTGTGGGTTATAGTTAATATTACAATAATAAAAATGATCCTGTCATTTTGAGCAGCTTTATTTTTGCAAATAGTGCACTAACTGAAACAAAGACAGAATCAGTCAGTCCAGAGTTTTTGCAGACTTGCTGGCACCCTGGGTTAGGAGTGTGCTTACAGAGCTGGTTTGATGCTGGCAATAGTTTTAAAGTGAAAGGAGGTGGTCCTGTATAGCAGGATAATGCAAAGAACTATCAGATGGCCATCATTTTGGCCAAAAGCAAGAGTACTCATATCATCCCTCTAGTGGTCAAACTGGTTTATTACTGCTTGTCCTTCCCAGCCATCGTTTTTTTAAAATATATTATTTAAGGTACAAGCCCTCAGGAAATGGTCAGTTTGTAACGGATTGCACTAGCGGAAACACAATTTAAGCAAAACCACTGCACAATGTAAGTGGGATAGTTTCTACAGCAATAGAAGTAGCTCATAGTGCAGAACTGTTTTAAGTCAAAACACCCAGATAGATAGCAGTCATGAACTTCTCCATGTTTATTGTTCTCAACTAATCCAGATTCTAATTTTGTGTATTGTGTTTCAAGCAGCAAGCAAAATGTCAAGTAAGTAATTGCCTCTCTATGGCAACACCAGCAATAATTACAATGAACATCCCAGAAAATAGTGTGAGGATTTTTCATACTATTCGTCTACAGTGAAATGTAGAATTAAATTGAATACAAGGATTAGGTCAGGAGGTCAGAACCAAAAAAAAAAATGCTTAGATCAGATTATGTAAACCTATAGATATTTTTGCTTCTAGAACAAAATTACTGCATAAAATCCCAAACCATGAGGCATTATAGTTTCAGTGAGCGTGCATGCAGCTGTCAGGGCAATCGGTTACCACGCTAAATATAGCTGGTTTCTGGGTCATCAGGGCACTCTGACATCACATCCTGCCTGGCGCGTGGGAAGCAAACGTGAGTCATGTGCTTGTGCAGTGAATGGGATCCACTTTCAACCATTATAATTAAATTCACTTTAATGGCACTGTAACATCAACTGCATGCTAACAGACTCACACATGAGCAATAGGCATGTGGAGTGATTTCCAAGTGGGAGAAGATGCGCAACACTCATGGAACTTTACACCTAATAGAAGGATAAGGGTTAAAGGCTTTAGAAGATAATGGGAATAGAGAAAACAGTGGTACTAAAAAATATTGCTAGTGAAAGATTGTTTTTGTGGTTTTCATAGTTACAAATTCATGTTATAATTTTGGAAATTCAGAGAAAATTATTTGCATATGTGCTTTGTAAATCTATATAATACATTCAGTATCCTAAGGAACAGCTACACTTACAAGCCCTGGAAATATGGGGTTATCTGCCTAGAAACTATAACATCTTAACTAGAGATTATAATGAGTTAAGAGCTACTGTATAGATCTGACCTATAACATTGCAACAGTGCTGTGGAGGAGTTAAAAAAGGCATAATTTTCAATTGCTAAGACAATTCTAATTGTCAAGCTGAAATATAGTAATTATGTATATCTGACAGCATAACGATGCACCCATTTGACAACATAATGCCTACCTTCAGACTGGTGACTGTAGTTTCCACCCGCTCCTCAAAGGATTTGAATGTAGGAGAATTTCTGTGGGAAGAGGATGCCCAGTGAGGCATTTAGTCTCATAAATCTTTTGATTTCTTAGCATAGTATTTAGATTTCTACCAACTTAATATGCAAATAGCATTAGCAAGTGATTCAGGTCACGTATAATCCAGTACATTACGTCGTCCACGTTAACAGGTGTACACATAAGAATCATTGTTTTCTTGTGAAATTACCCTTTCAGAAGTGAGTGTCACTACACTTTACAGTGCTTTGTGACATTTGACCTCACAGAAACTGTACAAAATCCAAGGATTATTATTATATACAAGGTGAAAAAACATCATGATACCATTACAATTTCTAATAAGTCTTAAAGAATTTTTTTTAGAATAATAGGATAGCTAAAAAAAGACTTTTTGGTTACCCTGAGGATCATATCTCATTATCCACTTGTTTACGTATTAACATGCTGGGCTGTCACTGCATTAATGATGCATTTATATTACAGATTATATTTGCAGCTTCAACAGCTGGATCTATATTAACCTTTCGAGCACTAAAATCAAATTTATTTGTTCAGGATCTATTGGATCTTGGGCCACTCTCTTCCAGGGTAAATCTATACAGAAGTGGGTCAACCTGATTGACACATAGATTTGCTAACCAAAACCCAACATTTTAAAACGTGGTGCCTCCTCTGAATGGAGGGTGGAAGTCAAGAGGCAGAAGAAAGAAGACGGTTTGATTTCAAAAGTAGAAGAGAGTAAACACTCCCCAGAGGGAGTGACACCACTTAATCCTGCCAGTGGGCAGCTTTCAAATTTATATTGCCACCAGAGACTACATTCAAGGTCAAAGGCATAAACCAAAGCCACCACACTGGGTTGTGTGCACCTTCTCCAGCAGCACAAGCAATACTTGGTTTCATTTGTTAGTTTATCACCAGCTTCAAACTGCTATCATTCAGCAGCAAGTCAAAGTGAATATATCTGGTAGTAGTTAATTAAAGATGCAGTGAAAACATACCTTAAGATCACCCAGTAAAAGTGGTCAGTGTTTGCAGTTTTTTTTCATTTCAACATTATGTTTAAACTTGCCGTTTTCTATTTTTATTTATTTGAAATTTCGATGGATAATATCAATGGTTATTTTAGTCCAATCTTTTTCGGATATTTTAAACTTTCATTGAGGTTTCCGGCTACAAAAATGTCCAAATCCTTTTCTAAAGATGCCGTGGCCGTGAATTCCTATGTGGTACATGTGTATTATGAACATGCTGTGCCTCTAACACAGTATCGACGTTAGTATAACACACATGCTCAGCGAGAAGCACTGTCGTGCCAACTTTGTCTCGGAAGTCAGCTATTTTTGTAGTTCAATACATGATAAAAAACTAAAAAAAGTTTAAAAATTCAAATAAATTTTCGTCAATTTGGAGAAAATAAGAAAAGGTAACAATTACCATATTTTACCAATAGCGATTTTAGCGATTACTATCGAACACCGACAAACCTATATTTTATTGTAGTGAGGTCAAGGCACTAATCTTGTGAAAATTGCTCAGACTGTTTGCTGGCCTTATTAGTGAGTTTTCATTGTACCTACAAAGGCAAAGTCATTAATTTTGTATGAATCACTGTTATTAACTACACGAGTATGCATTTTTGACATATGAGAGATGTGCCTGTACATTTTGAAATATCAAAAACTGTTCAGTTTGCACTGAATGTGGTAAAACTAACTGCATAACACAAAAAGGAGTATTGTTTGAACATTTGTCAGTTAAGCAGTAAATTAAAAACTTTTTAACTTCTGAATGAGCTTAGCTGGAAATGATTGGTTTCTGATAAATAAGTTAAGCCATTTCAGAGATATATGCTGATCAGCTGTGATACAAGGTTCAGCACTAGTTACAAAGTCAATTTGCTTTCTCTTTTTTTATATAGCACTAAAATGTCAATGCAGAATCAGTCTTTATGAACTTGCAGACCACTAGTACCCCACAATGAACTGAATCAAGGTAACCACAAGCTGAGTATTCACAGCAAAAGAGGAAAAGGACCGGCCACAATTCATGGCCTTTATCACCTCAACTCCCAAGTATCTCAACCTTCAGCACCATGTTCAGCACAGTCAATCACGCCATCCTCCTCCACCGCCTTTCCTCCGACATCTACCTCAGTGGGACCGCACTCACCTGGTTCGAGTCCTACCTCACAAACTGCCAGCAGTACATCTGCACAAATGGCTTTGGTTACCTGCGGGGCTCCCCAAGGATCCATCCTTGGCCCCCTGATCTTTCTGATCTACATGCTTCCTCTTGGGGATGTCATCCACAGACATGGGGTACACTTCCACATGTATGTGGACGACACCCAACTCTATTTTTCCACCTCACATTGCGACCCCCAGTCCCCTGATGTTCTGTCAGTCTGCCTGTCAGACTCAGCAGCTGGATGAGCGCAAATTTCCTTCAGTTGAACGTTGACGAGACAGAAGCCATACTCTTTGGCTCTCGTCAACATTGAAAATCACATAGTTCTCACCTCCTCCACCTACCCGACCTCCACCTAAAACTCTCCAAACCTGTACGCAACCTAGGGGTCAGGTTCGACCCTCAATTATCCTTCCTCCCCCACATCCGGTCCGTCACCAGCACCGCTTTCTTCCAACTCCGACGCATCGCCCTTCTCCGCAAATACCTAACTCCAAAAGACACTGAAACCCTGGTCCATGCCTTTGTCACCTTTCGGCTGGACTACTCTAACATACTCCTCGTCCCCCGAGTCCTCCGCTCCAACCTCAGCGGCCGTGCCTTCAGCCACTATGCCCCGAGGCTATGGAACTCCCTTCCTCACTCCCTTCGCCTCGCCCCCTCTCTTCCTATTTTCAGGTCTTGGCTGAAGACCTTTCTTTTCGACCGCGCCTTTGGTCACCTCCCTCCCCCTCGCGCTGGCTCGGCCCCGGGATCAATTAATGTGAAACGCTCTGAGACTCCGTCTGGCGTGGACGGCGCTATATAAATCCAAGTTGTTGTTGTTGTATGTTATCAGTACTATGGCTCCTGTACTGAACAGCTCAAGTTTGGTGGAAGAAGATACTTATTCATTTCCCCAGTTGTACATCCAAGCCACAATACTCGTGAGTGGTTCCAGAACTACTGCAGTTGTGGTACGCAGGACGATGCATAGAATGATGACAGCATGATTTGGCTGTCAACACTGCCATTATGCAACAGTAGAAAAATACATTTTCAAAACTCCCTAAAACATTGTTTTTGAGTCAGCTTTTTGTCATCTCCAATTCTGATTGTGGCAAAGAGCACCTTTTACTCAATTTTGATTTGTTATCTATTAATGTAAAATCAAAATATCAAATGGTGAAGCATTTCAATTTAAATTGCAGATCCTTACATTGTTATGTCAAGTAAGTAATAATATCTCAAGGTCACTTTCCCATTTATATGACTGGCAATTAAGTAAACCAAAAATATTTTAACAAAAACAGTATTAAAGCTAATACCAACTTTTTGTGACTGATTTATATTAGGAAGTAATGATATTGATACTTAAGTTTAAAACAACACAATTTTGCCAAATTCTGAGAAGGTAAATAGACTTTGTAACTCGTGTTGAACCTCATAACTTGGTTAATAAGCACATATCTCTGAAACGACAACTTAATTTATCAGAAATCAATTGTTATCATCTTTAATACAGCACATTTGTTTCACCTACTTTATTTTAAATAAGTAATACCACTCCTTTGTATTACTGAAAAAAAGTTTTGAAAGCACTTAGTTTCTCCTTCAGGCTGTATATTTAAGTGGCACCAACATTTAGCTATCTCTGAGTTTTGTCATCATATAACACTTTACCTCATTGCTGGCAAGCTAATTGAATGGCGAATGGAGTAACTGGCACATGCAAGCATTAAGAGAGAATATTGAAAGTGTTTTAGTAGAACAGAAAGTGACAGAAAAATGCCATTATTAAAATTAAACATCTGTTAAAGAGATTACTCAACACAGTAACCAAATTCATATACTACTGCACATTTTAAGTTTTTTAAAAATCTAATATTTTGAAGGCTGGTATATACCAATGATAATATTGAAAAAGTAATCACTTTTAAAAGAAAGCATAGTCTTCAATGGAGTATAGCTTTAGTTATGTCAGTTTCAGTCACCTTGATTGTAAAATATAAGTTTTAGACCAGTGGACTTGCATAACTGTTTGGTGAATGTTGGTATAGATGTTTTTCAGTAAGGAACATTTTATTTTCAGAGCTCCCTGAGAGATCATGCTCAGATCAGTCTGTTATTTTTCCACTCTTGTTGTGTCCCTACTCTTCATAAGAATTTGCAAGTCGAAAGAAGACCAAGGTCGATCTAGTTCGCCTTTCACCATCCTGGGAGTTGTTTGACATGTCGTGTCCCAAACTATATACTGTATCCCAAGATATTATTTTCTATACCAGAAACTTATCTCATTTGTTCTTAAACAAACAACATTTTCTGCTTCCACTGTCTCCTTAAGGAATCTGTTCCATAAGATTACTGCTCCCTCATTGAAGTAGTGTTACCGCAGATTTGTTCTGAATTTACCCCCCTTCAGTCATGGGCCGTGTCCTCTGGTTCTACTGTTCAGTACAAGATAAAAAGCTCATCATGGTCTACATTATCTATTCCCTTCAGAATTTTAAAGACCGTAATCAACTCGCCCCTCAAACTTCTCTTCTCCAACTTGAACATGCCCAGTTTATCTATTAGCCTCTCGTAGTCCAGTCCCTCCATCTCCTCAATCATTTTAGTCGCCCTCCTCTGGATCCTCTCAATCGCTGCAATATCCATTTTATATTTTGGTGACCAGAACTGCACACAGTATTCCAAGTGCGGTCACACCAGTGATTTATAAAGTGGCAGAATTACTCCACTATTTCAGCTCAATATTGCCTTTTTAATACAACACAGCATCTGGTTTGCCTTACTCCCTGCTACCGAGCACTGTTTAGATAGCTTCAATTTATTATCAATGAGGATCCCCAGGTTCTTTTCATTTTCCATACAGATTATTTTCTTACCATTTAAATAATAGTCCCTTCCTGGATTTTTTGCTCCCATGTAAAGCACTTTCCATTTCTCTACATTAAATTTCATCTGCCATCAATCTGCCCAAATCCCAAGAATGTTCAAGTCCTCCTGTAACCTATCCTGTTCATCTTTGCAGTTGACCACTTTCTTTGAACATTCAGTCACTGAGGATTTCATCCCTTAATTTACTGCTCTCTGTCTTTCTACCGGGAGTGTGGGGAGTGTGTTGGCTTTGCCTACAGTTGCTATCAGTCCATGTGTGTGATAGGTCAGTCTTGGTTCATTCCACTGCAACTTCCTATAATTCTCCAGGTCATGTAAGTTCCTGTCCTGAACTGCTAAGGGATGTAGGTTCTAATCAGTTTTTTTTTTTATTTTCCCCATCATTAGACTAGAGTTAGTGAACTCCCTGTTGTGGCAACAATAGAGAAGAATCTGGAAAGCCAATACGCTGTGGGGATTACCATCTAAAACCACAATGTTTTAATAAAAGCAAAGAGGTTGTCCGCATTAGTATAGCTAGTGGACATTTTACTAGAATAATTCTGTACCACCTAAAAAAAGGAAGGGGAAATAAGGAGAGTCTGACAGAAATTCAAAATAATCTGTTTCAGTTTACAGAATCTAAACCAGTCTTACACTGCCTAAATAAAACAATGTTCAGTATTATAAGGGCTTTTCCATAAATAAAAATAATGAAGTATTTATTATAAGGGATGAAAGACAAAATTGTAAAATTATTTCTGAATAACAGAACAAATTAAAAATAAACAATCTGACAATGCAAAACACTTACCATAACACATCAGAGCATCAAAACATTTTTACAAAAGCTGCAGAGAATGCTTTATACCAATAATTATTGATTCTATAAAACAACATCTTCACATCAATACACTGCAACAGCTGATTGGAATCTGGCTGCTTACCATAACACACGTGCAAGTAAAGAGAAAGAAGCACCATCTTTGTGCAGCTTACCCAATGGATTGTGCCCTTCTTGCAGCAGATAATCAAAAACAAGGAAACATTTATTAGAAAAACAAACACGCCAAAACAAAGTAAGGGCAATACATAACCTCTTCCCGAGCCTTCTGCTGCCACAAGAAGGCATACAATAGTCAGCATCAACTTTCTTATTTTTGCTTCTGCAAGACATGGATCACTGTTTAAAATGCTTCATCTAAGAGGAGAAATAGAGGAACGTCCAGCACAACCACTGCACTAAAGAAACATCTCCGAGGCAGACTAGTCCCTTCATAAATGACAGCAGTCTTGGCCAAGCCCAACAATCACACTGCTTCACTTTTCCCACACAAGGATTGAGTAGAGGCTTACACAATGATAGGAAATAAACTGGGAATAAGGTCATGGCCAGATTGTCCATAAACAACTTTAAAGGTAACACACTGGTCACCAAGCAAGACATTTTCACCTACCAAATGAACATCCCATATATAATGCCAAAAGTTCTGTCTCCTGTGTGCCATTTTCCAAAAAATACAAAATCCTTTATGGTGCACTTTCCCATACATTTAGGTTTCTAAGCAGCAAATGTAATTCAAGTAAATACAGGTATTCAATCCACAGAGGTTGCAAAGAGTTAGGGAAGCTGCCACACAAGTTAAAGCAGGGTAGAAAATGTCACCAATTTATTGTGACTTTGTGGTAATACTCAATGCCACTAAAATGTCAATTTAACAGACAGAATATAAATATGTTGATATGTACTAGAGTAGTTACTTGCCTTGAGCTTCAGATATATTAAGTACGACCATACTTAAAATATGGTTTTCCCCGCCTCAACATTACAAAATTACAATCTATGCATCTATGACTCGTGAACTAAAACAGCCATTTCTGAATGGCTTAATCATTATAAGCACATATAAGTTTTCTAATAACTTCAATTTATTTTTAATTCCCATTTTAATTTTCTTTCTTTTAAGATTCTTTTCTTTTCCTCTTCCCCCCACAAGATAATAATGTTTCTATTTATGTAAAAGAAAGTGTTGCTGGTGGCAGGCAATTCTCTTTCTTTCCTTCCTGATTAAAGATTTCCATTTCAATGATCCTTTTCATATACAGTCCTGAACAATCAAGTACAACAGTTCACTTTTTGAAAATCCTTTACATATAGATTAATTTACCATACTCTCAGCTATTTGAAGGACTCAAAATCATTTATGGATTGGAGTTTTGTGGGCTGATATGTTAAGCGTATTTTGGCAGTGAACAAATTACTGATTGCGCCCATTGTCAAATCATGCTAACGTTACCTGTTCGTGACCATCACCCTCAGATTTTTACTCCTAAACACCACAGTTTCTCCATGCCACAGAAGCTCTCCCCTATAGTCTGAAGTGGCCACACATTTAACCAACATTTATATAATGATCTTTCCAGGCTAACCAGCCACTTCCAATAGAATATTAAACCATACCAACCCCTTCAAAGTTATATTATTACAGCTGAGCATTTCTACTAGTGTTTACAGTATCCCATTACTGACGCATTTTTTAATGTATTAGTTTACTCTTTGGCCCTTTGTAAAGAACAAACAATCCACCTCCGGTCTTTTCAGGCAATTAAGACAAGTCTATAACCAAGCTGTACCAAAACAATGCAAATACTTATGCAGGGTTTAGCACTGCCAGCTAACTATAGTACTTATACCTCCACTGATTCCATCTCATCCCGGTTGATTGTTACTAGCTCTGGCAGGCTTTCATTTAAATGAATTAAGTCATTTTATATTCAGAACTCTACATGCAAAAGGCCCTACCAAATAAATGTTTAAGGCAGAGAAATTATACCCAGAAATCTATGAAATTGTATTTTTCTGAAGACAGGGCATTTCTTGAACAATATAATAATAATAATCCTTGCATTTGATATAGCGCTTTTCACGTCAGGAGGACGTCCCAAAGCTCTTCACAGAACACACTGTAAAGTGAATTGACTGTATATTTGTGGGCGAACGCGGCAGCCAATTGCGCACAGCAATGTCCCACAAACAGTCGTAGATTGAAAATGACCAATTTATTATTGTTTTTGGTTTTGGAGGGATTATTATTAGGCGTGTGGAGTAAGGAAACTTGCCCAAGGTTTCGCCCTCTGCCTGGAATTGAACTCAGGTCTCTCACTTGCAAAGCGAGTGCTCTAACTACTGAGCTACAGGACTCCACGAATAATCTGTTAAAATCTTTACCACGCATAGCAAAAAAACAGAATGATATAGGACTTGCATTTAATATTGAAACTCATTTTGCTTCAGTTAGTGAAACAAAAAATATTGAAATTATTTTCAATAAACTTGGTGCGTTACAGCGTGGGGCTCTTACAACTAAATGAACTTCCCCTTGGGCACCAAAGAAGAATTTAAGATTAATATTGTATTTATTACTTGTCACATGTATTTTTAAGTTTATTATTTTAACAGGGAAAAGAATAAAAACAACTACTGATTCAGATTCCAAAGTTCAAACTATTCGACTGTCTTCCCCTTCAAAAAAAAATAATTTGGTCACTCAATCCATGACTGTTTGCAGGACACCGCTGGGCGCAAATGGCTGTCGCATTTCGCCCATGAAATACAGTCAATTCACTTGACAGTATATTCTGTGAAGCACTTTGAGACGTCTTAACGACATAATCAGGCGCTGTATCAAATGCAAGAATTATTATATCCATTAGGCCTTAATGTTTAAAATTTGAATTCTCCATTTTGGAACTCCCGTTCTCCACTCAAACACATAATCCAATTTCATGATCTTTATTTGGTAAGGCCAAGAGAGAAAAAATCAAGTTAAAGCATGCAAATTTAACATATATCACACACATGCAGAGTTTTTAACAAAAGCTCTCTTCTCTGTACTCTCAAGGTTTAAAACGTAATGCGGATGCCACTGAAAATCAAAGATCGTTTTGAAATACAAATCGGGCCTACAGACAATTTTCAGAACAAAACTTGCATTCAAGCAGAAGTGCTATAATCATGTGGCTAGATGTGCCTTTAGGCAATAATGATTGATAAAGTATGAGAACATAAGGTTATAAAGGCAAAACTAAGTGCCAACAGGTGGCAATGTTTAAAAAATACTACCCAAAATCCTCATCAATCAGTATTGTCATTAAATCTCAATTTTATCCTAATTGAAACCACAAACAATGTAATGTGTTGTTATATAAGAAAAAAATTAGAAGTGAAAGCAGACCTCAACTACAAGAAAAAACTCACTCGGGGAGCAGTTAGAATATACAGCGGTGGTGATGGTCAACTACAACACTGAGATTATTTCATTATCATTCTAAACATGCTTTGTAAATTGTTTGCAAAAGGACTTTACATCCTTCCCTCATGCTTCACAGTTCTTGCTGTTAGACCTAACAGAGATAGGCTCTTTTGATTGCAGGTAGTTCCAAACAGCAGGACACAAAAATCACTTGGAAGAAGGTTCACACGAAATGCTGTGAAAAGCCATAATTCTAAACTCGTCCTGTCATTTTATGTGGTGATACACTACTCTATTTTATTGGAAAGCTTCGTTCCTTTTTGGTTTAGATTTTAATGAGAAACTGTTCTGGCAATGCTGACAGGTAAATGACAGTAGAGAATTAAATGCAATTTTATGGTGGGGAAAGAGGAATAGATTCATGGCAAAACTTATGCCTCAGCTAATATTTCCTATGAATTCCTTTCATGACCCAGTTTCCCCTGGGGCCACAGTATCTAATGTGTTTAAAAATACAATAACCATTAAAGGAAAATAGAATGCTTCAATATGAAAGTGAGTGAAAATTGTACATGGAGTGCAATTGGCTTCTAACACTTTAAACCAAGTACAATTATCATTACCAAGAAAATAAAAATATGGAAATCAGTCAACGTTAAAAATTGTAGTCACAAGCAATATGTTCTCACAAATATGGGCTCCCTTCCTGGAGTATGGCCACAAGACTACTGCTGACCCAAGGACCAGTTCAGATCTGCTGAATTACTGATCGAGTCTAGTTGGGCTGTCATTAGGGAGGAGGTGGATGAAAAAGACCAGGAAATAGTCGCAGGATCTGTTGTTCTATCCGCTCTTAGGCAGGAGCAACTTCTGTGGTCACTGTTCTAGTCAGCTTTCTTGTTCATAGTTTCATACTTCCTTCAAACATGGAAAGACAGAGATTGAGGCAAGATGATAGTGCATTCATTTCCAATTGCTTATACAAACCAGGTCCGGAGCACATCTGATGTTATTTTGTATTGATTAGTTCCTAAACTTGTGCTTATTATGCTGTATGTTATTTATCTTAGTGTTATTGCTTAGCATTTCTTCTGTAACACTCATGTCAACTAAGAATATTATACAAGTACATGTTTAAACAAATCTGAAGAGTACGAGAAGAAAGAGTTTGTTATTCTCAGTTAAAAGGATAGCCACAATTTCTAAATTGCAGTCAAAACTGTACGTGCACTAGCCCATTAACTACAAGAAGAGTGAATTTTGAAGCAAACGGGCCTCTTGGTAGCTACATCTTTTCTAAATAAAATATCAAACCAATTTCAATCTCACCTTTGTGGGACCAGTAGGTTGAAGTAATACAAGCTACAGCAAAACAACAGCCAGAGTTATGAACATATCTAACAAACAACACAAACAACACTAAACTGGAAAAAGAATAGCGGCTCACATTGGAATAGCGCATACAAGTATCTATGTTTTCAGCTACAGTAGACCCGCTTCCCTCCATTCTAAAATTTCCTCTGGATGTTGCAGAAGTAAAAGCACATTATAAAGAGGATGCTTTGATATGTGTCCTGTATTACAGGGCTATGAACAATGAAGGTCATCATGACTTACTTCAAAATGTCATGAAGCAAGAGGGTCTTTCCGCATGTGCTGCCTACAAAAAATACTTTTGGCTCTAAAGTAAAATATATTTTCAGTACCAATTTGTTTCAATTTGTACTTACTTCATCTCTCCTAGCTTCTTGCTAAAGGCAGAGCTTACATTACTTAGAGCTGTTGTCGCTTTCTGTCCTGCATTAGTAAGAGTTTCCTGTGTCTTTTTGTACCTGTGTGATGAAGGAACAAGAAGAAAAACATGAAAGTAAAGTAACACCTGTAAAACAGAGAGAGATTGATTTTAGGTTTTTACCTGAAAACAGGTTTTTATCAAGATTAACTTTGTACATTTAATAACCCAACTGCTGAGCGAGGTGGGAGGTGGTTTGGGGCACTGATCCACTGCTTTATGTAATGATTGGAATCCAGTTTACAACAGAGATCCCTCACAAGTGGGGGAAGGGTGAAAACATTATACGGTATAAAGAGTAGCTCACTGCACTACCTAGCTTGTTAATTTAAATCCCAGTCTGTGATGAGTTTGCTGATCTCAAGCCAGGGCTGCACAGGGAGGCGAAATTGGTCAGAGCGGAAATCCAGCCAAGATTCCTATTCATGACAATTTTGGATGGAATGCTTTAAATAGTGGCAAAAACATGGATAACTCCATTGTGAACTCCAAATACCTCCTGCACATAGGATTTGAAACTTCAACCAATATAGAGGACGTCCTCCCGACGTGAAAGGCGCTATACAAATCTAATCTTGTTGTTATTGTTCTTGTGCTAAATGAATAAAACAGGGCACGTGTTTGCTCACAGCAATCGTTTCAAATCTTTATTCCCCATTTCTTCAGGGCGCCACCACAGTAGCCAAGACTGTGGCTACTGTGGCTTCTAATATACAAGAGACAGTAGTGGTCAATAGTGAAAAGTTATCCTCATGGTTTATGAAATACTACCTGAAACTACAAGAATCTTCAAGGAAAGTAGAAGAGCTAATATAATGCAATGCTATTTATATTTATAGAGCATCTTTCACGTTATGAGAGTGTCCCAAGCCAATGAGGATATTTGTACAAAACAGATCTTTGCCTATAATTCCTTTAAAATCAAAGGACATTTTTAAAAAAAAACAAGTTCAACTCATTTTGATTGTCTGGTCCATTCAAAAGAGCAAAAATGGGTTAGGATGTCGCTGTTATTATTAGACATCCACACTTCTCAATTGCATCAAACACACAATTAATGATAAATGTTGTGCTCAGAGCTTTCACTCTGAAGGAGAATGCACCACATTTCCATAGCAACACAATTCATCTGCAGCTGTATTACACAATACACCGACTACAGGACCTTCCTGAATTTATTGCATTCTTGAAATGTTACATGTTGAAGTGATCATAGAAAATTAATTTGATACCCCTCCCTTCACAGAGCATCAGTATTGAACCTAAGCATAAACATTCCAAGCCTAATTTCAAATTTAGCACCAGATGTATATTGATTATTATCTTATTTGTTGGATGACTAAAAGTTCAGGATACCTGGAAATCTGGTTCTAACAATAATAATCCTTGCATTATTATAGTGCCTTATCACATCATTGAAACATCTCAAAGCGCTCCACAGGATTTAAAGATTGTAAGTGTAACAACTATGCATTATCTCGGTAAACCCAATAGCCAATTTGCGCACAGCAACATCTCACATGAAGTGAAATGCATGGGACTGTTAGTCAAACCACCTTGAGAAACTCCCTTCTCTTTTTCAAATAATGGACTGGGATCTTTAACTTCCACCCGAACTGCCAGACAGAAGTTTGGTTTAATATTTCATCCATAGGATGGCACCTCCAAACATTCAACACACCTCTTCCATCGCATTGGAGTGTCAGCCTAGACTGTGAATTCAAGGTCCCAAGTGGGGCTTGAACCCACAACCTTCTGAGTTGATGATTGACTTGGGAGTTTATACTGTAAGTCACAGAATATACTTGCTCAGCAACATTGCTTGGAGGGCAATTTAACAACAAAAAAAACACAGCTTCCCAGAACACTTAACAGTGGTGGAACACGATGTCGAGCCGGGAGGAGGCGACCGTAGGCACAGCCGAAGGGGAAGGTCTTCAGGTGCAACGAAGATGGGAAAGGAGGGAACAAGGTTGAGGGATAGAGGAAGAGTGTTCCAGAGTTTTAGGACGTAGTGGCTGAAAGCACGGCCATCGATAGTGGAACGGAGGGCACGAAGGACATGCAGTGGGTTGGGGAGTAAGCAGGTCGGAAAGGTAGGGAGATGCCACGGCATGAAGGGATTTGATGACAAGTGTGAAGATCTTGAAATCCGTTCGGCAATAGGGAGCAGGAGTTTAATATGGGTGAGTATGGGGGTGGCGGAGTTTTGGATCAGCTGGATTTTGTGAATGGTGGAGCTTGGGAGACCGGCGAGGAGGGCATTTAAACAGTCAAGGCAGGAGGTGACGAATGCATGGACGAGTGTTTAAACAAACTTTTCGCTGAGAAATGGTCCGTTCTGACTCACTTTCCTTTCTCCGTAGATGCTGCCTGACCTGCTGAGTGTTCCCAACGACTTCTATTTTTGTTCGCAGTAGCAATCTACTTGAATTGCTCTTGGTTGGGAGTTAAGTGCTCAACCAATTAAGCTGCCAAGTTACAAGTGATGTCAAGCTGACAGTGTTTAAGATTTTTGAAAAAAATGAAAGCAGTCTAGCTCTTGCTACAAGCTGGGAAAGTGACCATGCCCACGGCTCGGCATCGTGCTCCACCACAGTCAAACGTTCTGGGATGCTACCCTGCACGAGGGGCGCTATACAAATGCAAGTTGTTGTTATTTTCAACAGTGTTGCTGTTGGACTTTGACTTTTTGGATTTGAACCCTAAAACATTTCCTTAAGAATATACTTAAAAATATCACTAATTCAATGTCATTAATCTTCTTTAAAGAGGTTAACTACATTGTTTTAAAATGCGAAATCCTGGTGTAAAATCCCACCGACTAATTTATCTGATAAGGCGCTATATCAAATGCAAGGATTATTATTATCTGTCACGGTCCCAACTGTTTGGTTGGGTGCTCTTCAGCATGGTGATGGGTTTCTGCATGTATCAGACCTGACTGACCAAAGAAAAACAACACAATTGCAAATCTTTGACTGTCCAGTGGGTTGGGACATCCTCCTGATGCGAAAGGCATTACTGTACATAAATGTAAATTGGTTGCGTTGTAGTATCCCAATAAGTAGCAGTTCCTTCAATTATAAGCCTATTTTGAAGGCAAGATTTAGGAGGGTTTTTTTAAAAAAGCTGCTCATCAGTTTAAATATTTTATAAAAAGAAACGAACACCCAGAGCTCAAATGACATTTGTAGACAGCGGTACACATCATGAGTCTCCAAGATCAGCTCTCAGGCACAGTTATTAAACTTAATCCAGCTATTCTTCCGAGTCAGTGCTCGAACAGCTAAAGTAAATTGACTCAGGAAGGTTCCTCACATGTGGATACTTCTCCATGGTAATAACGATCTATTTAGGGCAGCCGGTTATAATGTACAGTGAGTAAACAAAAGATCAAACTGGGTGTTACTTCACAGACACAGTTTCAAATGACTTTATGTTTAAAAATTAATTAGATGGTTTCTCTATCCAGATTGTGAGTGCACAACAACAGGTAATATGTCAAGTTAAAATGGAATTGAAAGGAGAAAAAAAACATACAGAGCTGCAGAACTGAAGCAAATTGATATAGTTGTTTCATCATCGATTTAAAAGATACCAGGAATTCTAACAGGATTATGCAACACGTTAACAGCATCAGTGTTTTAGCTATGAGGGTATGAAACAATTGTTTTCTTTTCCACACATTATGGGTCATAATTCACACCTGGCAAATCCCATTGAGAATAATGATGCAACAACACTTCTACAGTGTTTTTGCAAAAGAGCTGCTAAACTACTTGGCAAAGCACGAGACAAGCTACGTCTCTACCAATGCTGCTCATAACAAGTTGATTAACATGTAGTTATGGATTGAGTCTTTGGATTTCCTTGCTCTATGTGTCGAAAAGTAATCTGTGTTTTTCTACCCCCAGCCAAAATCACATTATCAGTTTGATGGGTGATCATATTGGCACAGACAGTGAGAGAATAAGAACTAAACTTGTAGGTGCAAATCTGACTCCTAATTTGACTTGACAGAAGATATTGGGGCAATATTCCTGATGCATCACCAACATCAACATCTGTTACATTCAACTTAGAAGCACTCTTCAAAATAGGCAATATTCAATATCTATGTAGTTTAATAATCTATCTTCATTTTCAATAGATAACTCCTCTGATCAGTCAAAATTGAATATTACTGAAATGAATCGCAGGAAAACATTTCTCCTCACAGCAAGACAAAACATTTTGCACAGTCTTCAAGAACAGGAAGAAGCTATTCCGCCAGCCAAGCCTGTTCCATCAGTTGATTACATCACCATAGAACTCTTAATTCTCCACCTTTTCCTTATCCCTCTTAATAACCTTGCTTCCCAATTATCACAAGATTGGTTTGGATGAAGAAGGCCCTTTGGCCCTTCTGATCTTAATTTATCTCGCTTTTAAACTTCTTTTTAACCAATTAAGGTGCAGCTGACAACTTCATCTAAAAACTTACGTCATGGAAGTTTGCACATCATGCCAGCTTTTGCTTAAATTGTGTTTGAATTCATTCAGTGGAGTGATGCCCATCTTCTGCTTTATATCAACTAGGTGTTTCTCCTTGGCAACCAACACTTGGCGCAATGTGGAAATTTCATCTTCAAGCTGATATTAAAAGCAAGAGAAATAGCTATAAGACTGTAAAACATTAGACAGCTATAAGACATTGCTTTGCACAAAGCACAACTGTGCAAAGGAGGCTTCCTACTAGAGAAGCACTCACAGAACGTTTTTCCAACATTGTTCCTAGTTGCTCTTCACATGCATCACCAAATTCAAGAACCTGCTTAACTTCTACTGCATTAAAGTACATTACAAATAATATTTGCTATAAAATAATTCACTGTCACATCCAAATTGTGTTCAGTTTACAGTGCAAGACACCAGCTCTGGAAGACATACATTGACAAAACAAATCTCAAAAGACCCCAAAGCCACAGTAAGTCAATCAAACACCTAACTTCCAGCAGGCACTGCACTCTTATATACAATGTGGAGCAAAAAAATCACAAGGCTGATGTCATGGATATCAAACAATCTTAAAGGGACACCTCCAGGAATGAATGCCCAGGATTAATTAAGGTCATTGAAATACATAATTTGAAACTTATTTCTGGCAAAACAATAATGTCTAAAAGCTATTTTGCAGGAACATTCTGGTTTACCTTGGCCATCTCCATGCTCAGTTCTTCTTTTTCTTCTTCCGAGAGTGGGTTAAGATCAATAACAGTGCCTGGGTCACCTGCATCACTAAAGCGTCTAGTCTCTATAAGAGCAGTAGAAAAAGGTCAAAATATTGTTAATGCTTAGGCTATCAGTTATCATAGGAAAGTATTAAACTTCAAGTAGGTTAACATATTTATAGTCAAGTTAAGATCTACAAATTAAGGCAACAAATACAGACAGTAAGACTGGTATCTGAACCCGGTCGATTTATCTTTTCTATTAATACTGCAGAACTCAGAAACCGATCCAATTGCCATTAAACCAAAGCTTACGTACTACCCCCGGAACAGCAATCCGCCAATCGACCAACAACCGGGTTCCAACTTACTGGTAGGTAACCAGAGGCGTGTGGAGTAAGGAAACTTGCCCAAAGTTTCGCTCTGCCCAAGAATCGAACCCAGGTGCTCTCTTTGTGAGGCGCTGACCACTAAGCTACAGACTCCACTAGACCAGTTTCTGAGAGTTCTCTATTGTGATTGAGCTGACGAAAACAAATAACATAGTGGGTTTGAATGGAACCAAGCTCACGTCACAGTTGTATATTCAGAGCTCTTGTGCAGTCAACAGACATCCCAAGAATTTTAAATTGACTTTTAATATTAAAGAGCCAATCATATGACTAGCTCTTTTAATAGTATAAAAAACTAACACCTGATTGCAGAGTTAGCTATATATATGTATATTCGCAGAATAATAAAATTAGATGTTGATTTTTTAATAAGTAAAAATCAGGCTTCCTGCTACACATTTCTCTGGTTCTGTCAGAATGGAACTCATTGCAATTTTCACCAAAATCTGTTGCCAAATGGAGAGTATATTAATCACTAAATCAAATCAAAGAACTGGTCTTCCAGTATAGTAGAAAATGTAAAAATCCATTCACTGTCCTTTGCACACAAGTTTTGTTGGGAGCCAACTTTCAAAATGTCTACAAGAAGCTTTATGCATTTAATGACACAATGAGATGAGTATCCATTGTAAAACATTGATCCACCATTGACATCCAACCATCATTAGCCACATCCAAACACTACTAGACTACAATAAAAAGTCTTATCTTTATAATCGTATAATTGCCCAAGTTGTACGTGCACTAGAGTTCATTCGGTTTCCTACCAAAAAGCACTTTCTTTGCACTAGTCGTATTTAGTAGATCAGATAAATAGCTAAATTGTAATGGTTTCTTGGTCCCCAATACACCCCAAATCCATCTCCACGAGGGCACTCACCGGCTGCATTGAATCATGGGAAAGTATTGACCCATCATATATGATACGACTTATGCAAGTTAACTGAAACTCATACTTTACGCAAGTCAGATTAAATATTATAGTCCCAACTGATATGACTTATGCAAATTTTACTGTATTACTAAAATGTATAACTCTTGCTCCTGCAAGAAATTTGCACCATTCCAGTTTCAATACGAGTTTATTAAGGTGCAATCATTGGAAATACATGGTTAAAAGAAATGTATTTAACTCAATGTTGACAGCATTCAATACTTGAAAGTATTGCATCAACTGAGCATTGGAAGTGCAGGAATCTATTATTCAAATGTTTAAAAACAACTGAAGCCTGACATTGTCTGAAACATGGTTTAGGATCAAACTTTGATTTGAAGTATCTTTTCATCATTAAGGCATAGTAGAATTATAACATGAAGTCTATGTGAAAAGTGCTATATAAATGCAAGTTAATGTTATTGTTGTCTACACAAAAAGTAGCTGTCTGATGCAGCATGAATGTGCCAATTTACCAGACTTTTCAGCCTAATTTGAATTTCCTTTCCCCAGTTTGGACAAACATTCAGGCCCCTTCCACATTCAAATCAAATATTACATATTCTGTACCATACTACAAATTTCGAGGTTCACCTTTCTTGTTCAGCTGTGGTTTTCCCAGAATGTGAGAGAGGATACGTGTATGATGGATTGCATACAATATACAAGTATATTTTAGAGCTTTGGTTTAATAGTCTTTGGACCGTTTTCTGTAAATGACAGCAGCCATCATTAACTGAAACTTATGTCTATTTCAGTTTGCTTCACCAGATAGCCACTGTTGCAGAGAGTCACATCAATCTGCTACCTGCTCAATGAAAACATGTGCACACTAAATTATTGAACTCAAAATGTTCTTTTTCCCTGTAGGGTTTGTCTGATTTTTCCACAGATTCCACTAATCCAAGACTACGGATATTTCTGTGGATTACACTGGCAAAATTCAATCCTGCATAAGAACAGCATTACACTTACATGCTCTTCAGTCAACATATTCTGTTGCCAAAATAATTTCTTTCTTGGTATCCATAAGGTTTTATTTTGCTTACAAATACAAAATACTATTTTTTTTCCCACTTTGCTAGTTTAGTTTTGGTTATAATAAATACAAGTTAGATACATTATCCACACAAGATGAAGGTTGTATGTCTCCATTCCTGAAAACTGGAACTGAAACTGGCAGTCGTCTTACGTACCTCACCAAGTGGCAGCTCTTTACATGCACCCCTTGATGATGATAACATTGATCCTTGGATTTGATATAGCACCTTATTAGGTAGTCAAGATGTCTTAAAGCACTTCACAGCGTACACTGTGAGGTGTTGTGACTGTGTGTGTTTCATGGGTAAACGCAACAGCCAATTTGTACACAGCAATGTACCACAACCAGCCATGGAGTGTGACCAACTTTATTAGGGGATGTGTTGGCCAAGACAGGGATAAAATGCCTTCCCTTTTTGAATACCATGGATTCTTTAACATCTACCTGAGGAGACAGATGGGATCAGACAATGAATGCTGGCAGGTTATCCAAACTGGGGAACAGCTTAACCTCTTCTTGTCCTTACCTGTTGTCCACCTACATACACATTTCATCAGTTTTCACTGGATAGAAAATAGAACTTTGGTTAATTTTGCGATCTGTAGTATATTGCTTGTATAGATCAATATTTAGAATTTTAGGCATATTTTGGCATTCAAAAGGCCACTGATATATTGCTACAAGGCTTAGAGAAGACTGACGAAAGATGATTCCAGAAATAAAGCTGAGCTCTAAACTCTCCAGAATGCTATTATCGCAATACAATACAGTGATACAATACAAGGTTTAATGAGACAATCTGCATGGCTTCATGACAACATATTTTGTACAATTATTGCCCTAAATTTCTTCACTACAGTCAATGCAATTATCCATCTTCTCTCCAGGTGATATAGTGAAACATTCATTATATTATGTCCATCTGTGCACAACAGAGCCTGGATAATAAGTTCGATCTGCAGGTCTAAAGAGACACAATGGATTCCCTCAAATTCACAAACACTGAAAATGGCATCTCTTGTAAAATGCCAAATCACTACATTTGTTCAAATATCAATCAAAAGCATTTCTACTGGATAGGCAAAAAATAAACTGCATTAATGATGAATTCAAGACACACTGTGCTAACATCTGCAAATACCTGTATGTTGAGCAGCAGATTTGTCTAATTCATTATCCTATTTAAAAACTATTTTGCCCCTCAAAAGTGCAATTTTACCACAGCAGATCACCATCCAAGCAGGAGATGAACAGATTGTCAGAAAAGTGAAAGGAAAAGAGAAATTATTTTAATTATGTGGAGGAAATGCTTTTTCCAGCTGCTCTACAACAACAACAAGATTCCATTTATAGAGCGCCTTTCACGTCGGGAGGACGTCCCAAGGCGCTGTACAGTTGGGTCAGGACCCGAGCAGGGGGGAAATGGTCAGGGTGAGGGGAGGGAAGGGAGGGAACGAGGAGGGGGTAGAGAGTCGAGAGGGGAGCTGAAGGCTCGGTCAAAGAGAAAGGTCTTGAGACCGGCCTTGAAGGAGGAAAGGGAGGAGGCGGCGAAGGCACTGGGGGATGGAGTTCCAGAGCCTCGGGGCTGAGAGGCTGAAGGCCCGGCCACCGATGGTAGGGCGGTTGGGGCGGGGGATGTGGAGATATAAAGATCTCAAAGCAGAGATTCTACATTCTTTGCATGCAGATATTTATTGCTTGCAAGCCAGTCAGGTGTGTGATACACACGCACGCACAATCTGCTTGTGGAGCAGTGTGGCTGTTCTTGTTGCTAAGGATTTAAACCAAATGTTTTCCTCAGGGTCAGGGTAGTAAATGAATTAATGAAAGTGTGAAGAGACACTGCCTAAAAATAGGAATATAAACAGGATAGGCTGGAAATGGCTCAGTCAGAGAGGAAGAAATACACGCTTAGATGTGTAAGCTGTGCTGAAAAAAGTTTCCAAACATCATCTGAACCTGAGTCCCACACTGGTCCCTAGACTTGAGCACTGCACTCATAAGGGTTGATGGAAGTCACATTAAATAATTTCCTTTCAAAAGAGGTGTGAGGTAAGGCTGTCTACTGTTACCAACCTTATTCGATGTATTCATCAATAGCGTATTGGATAGCATCAGGGTGAGGGGCGGGATGGACCTCAAGCGCATTTTTCCAGACGTTTCAGATTCTTCGGTTTGCAGGTCACATTGTGCTGTAAGTGGACTCACCTGGGATTCATGTGCACTGCACTCACAATTTTGAACTCTGGGCCAGTGAGTGGGACAAGAAGTGGGTGGCATCAAGGGTATTATGACTGTGCAGTGAGGCGGGACCTTGCACATATTGACAAGAAGATAGAAGGGACATCCATCCCAATTGTTGATTCATATTGATATGTGGTGGTGTGGTGGACACGAGCTTTAGCTTGGACAATGTCCTATGGAACTGCAATGAGAAGAGACAATGGGCACTCTGGTCATTCTTGTCTCTCTTCAATGACAGCGAGGTCCTGATGCAGGTTAAGCTGGTGGTTTTATACACCACCAGCTTAACCTGGTGTCCAAACACTTTCCTTTCATTGGTCTGAGCTCATGAGTATGAAGTGCGGGGCAGGCATATCTGTTCTTCAAAACCCTCACATGAGGATCTGCATTAAGGAGTTGGTGCTTAGTAAGCCCGATACACTGGACTTGAATCTCCAAACCACCCAGGTGGCTGGCATGTCACAAGAAGTCCTGTAACGTTCCTCCCACCACACTGAAGACAGGTATCCAAACAGCTATTAAGGAAACTTTGAGGGTTGGAACAACAGCTGCTGGAAGGTATTACCTGGACTTCAGGTTTGTGAACACACAGTTATATATCCAGGACTTGGTATGCACCTTGATTTTAGAGAGTTAAGTCTGTTGCTGCTCAAGTTTCACACATCCAACTGATGGAACCATCGCTCAATAGGTAGAAGTGTGTGACAGCGCTGTTGGCAAGAGGACAGAGGATGCGCTGTCACGATTTAATGCTGAGCTGTGCTCCTCACCAGGAATCTCGCTGACTTTTCTGGTACCTAATAGCTATGATATGAGGGCACAAATTTGTAGGATGCCAAATGTCAAATGAGGGTGGTCCTCGCTGGACATGCGGCAGGAAGCTTGCCAGACAGTAATTTTAACAGCAAGGTATCCCACACACATACACACAGCCCACACCACACAGAGACACCCACTCCAACACACACACACCCCTCCACACCCCCCACACACACACACACACCCCTCCACATCCCCACACACACACACCCCTCCACATCCCCACACACACACACCCCTCCACACACCCACACACACCTCTCCACACCCACACCCCTCCACAAACACACACCCCCCCACACACACACCCCCCCACACACACACCCCCCCACACACACACCCCTCCACCCCCCCCACACACACACACCTCCACACACACACCCCTCCAACCCCCCCCACACACCCACACACCCCTCCACACCCCCACACACCCCTCCACACCCCCACACACCCCTCCACACCCACCCCTCCACACACACACCCCTCCACACCCCCACCCACCCCTCCACACCCACACCCACCCCTCCACACACACACCCCTCCACACACACACCCCTCCACACCCCCACACACCCCTCCACACACACCCCTCCACACCCCCACACACCCCTCCACACCCCCACACACCCCTCCACACCCCCACACACCCCTCCACACCCCTCCACACCCCCACACACACCCCTCCACACACACCCCTCCACACACACACCCCCACACACACCCCTCCACACACACACACACCCCTCCACACCCCCACACACACCCCTCCACACCCCCCTCCACACCCCTCCACACACACACACACCCCTCCACACACCCCTCCACACCCACACACACACCCCTCACCAACCACAACCCCTCCCAGTCCTACCCCCCCCACCACACACACAATCCCACAAACACAGTCCCCCTCCCACACACAGTCCCCCACACACAGTCCCCCCTCCCACACAGTCCCCCCACACACAGTCCCCCTCCCACACACAGTCCCCCCACACACAGTCCCCCCTCCCACACACAGTCCCCCCTCCCACACACACGGTCTCCCCCCATCTCTCGCTCTCACCTCTGTCCGCGGGTTCCATGTTCCTACTCCTCTCAGCTCCTCGCAGCCTCAACATAGCTCCGCACTCAGACCCTCCCCCACTCCCGGAGGTCTGTCTCTCTGTGTGCACAGCGCCCCCTCTCCCGGAGGTCTGTCTCTCTGTGTGCACAGCGCCCCCTCCCCCCGGAGGTCTGTCTCTCTGTGTGCACAGCGCCCCCTCCCCCGGAGGTCTGTCTCTCTGTGTGCACAGCGCCCCCTCCCCCCGGAGGTCTGTCTCTCTGTGTGCACAGCGCCCCCTCCCCCCGGAGGTCTGTCTCGCTGTGTGCACAGCGCCCCCTCTCTGTTGCCGATGTTCGGCAATGGACCCCTTGTCTGTGGTGGTGTCCTGTCTGGTTCCTGAGCCGGACGGCTCGGCAGGGCTGCCCGGCGCGGCTGAGGACAGTCCGGTCAGGCTGAGGACAGTCCGGTCAGGCTGAGGACAGTCCGGTCAGGCTGATCTGTAGGACCTGGAAGGACAGCTCAGTCCCTCAGGGCAGGGCCTCTCGCCCTGAGCTCCTGTTGACCATGTGAGCCTAATCCACAATGCAGTGGGTAGGGTGGTCCTCACTGGAAAAGCCGCTTGAAGCTTGTCAGGCAGTGCTCTCATTTGCGAACTACGTAGTTTTAACAACAACAAATTACATTTATAGAGAGAATTTCGTGTTGGGGGGGTGTCACAAGGCCAAGGTACAAACCCGAGCTGGGAGTTGGAGTGGAGGGATTGGCAGGCAAGGAGGATGGAGGTGGGAGCATGACCAAAGGCACCATCAAATAGGAAGGTCTTGAGACGTTTAACTCATCAAACTCCAGCCGTAGCCCAGTGCCTACTCTGTAGTCCCAAACCTTGACTCTAAACCTTTTTTTTTGTCAGCCAAGTGTCTCACATTTGCAGAAACCTATCGTCACATTTAAGAGTATTTAAGCCAGGCTGAGCGTACCCAGATTGCTACTAGAGTTTAACCAACTAAAACTGTATAGTTTGCCATTACGAGCATTGTCTGGCAAGCGTCCCACCGCTTGTCCAATTAGGACCGCCCTACCCTTTAGGGAATTGGCTTGCAATGATAATGGGAGCTGAATGAGAAGAATCCCTGCACCGAGTAGCCGGCCTACCCCTCCAAATTCTGCTGATGAGCCAGGGTGGCAAGTTTGTCATCAGCAGTGTCTTGGAGTATTGTGGACCCATCTGGGCTCAGGGAACCATCACAGAGGGTTGACTTGATTCCAGCATTCCATTGCCAAGCACATCACCTTGTGTCCTGCTAACAATATTTTATATGGGATTGAGAAAGTAAATCAGGAACAATATTTTGGATGCATGCAGACACCAAACAAGATACAGGTTCTGGGTAGCAAATGGTAGTTTCAGGACAGGCACCAGGAAGTTTTTCTTTACTCTTATATGGTAAGTTATGAATTATTAATAAAGCATGACCTTAGAACATCTATCATGTAACAAAATCATTAAAAATTCGAATGGCCTGTCTGCTAGGACTACCACAAAGATCTGCTGTGCTGAATGGTCTTTTTTCTGTGATACATTCTGTGATAATCCTTGACTGTCTAGTGCCTTGGGACCTCCTCCTGAAATGAAAGGGGCTATACAAATGTAATTTGTTGTTTGTTGTTATTGTAAATTCAATGTCTACCTTGCTTGTACCTGCTTTTAGCTACTCACAAAGCAGTGCTACTCTACACGTCCAATAAAATACAGTATTACTCAACCATACACACTTGTGTAAGTTTTGGCTAGAAAATATTCACAAGTCTTTTTGATTTTTGATTGGAGTCCTGTAGCTCAGTGGTTAGAGCACTCGCCTCACAAGCGAGAGACTTGGGTTCGATTCCCGGCAGGCTGAAACATTGAGCAAGTTTCCTTACTCCACACAGCTCTGTTTACCTAGCAGCATGCAGGTTGTTAGTCAATTGGCAGATTGCTTTTCCAGGAGGTAATAATTTCTTAAAAACAATCATAAATTGATCACTCAATCGACAACTGTTTGTGGGACACTGTTGTGTGCAATTGGCTGCAACGTTTTACCCACAAAATATACAGTCAATTCACCTTATTGTATATTCTATGAAGCGCTTTGAGACGTCTCAGATACGCAATAAGATGCTATATCAAATGCGAGGATTTTTTTTTGTAGGTGCCCAGAATTCTTCACATAAGCAATCCTTAAAAATAGCAATAATTGTTTAAGAAAAACAATAGTATTTTATAACTTGAAAATTTACTCAGGAGAAGTTTTTCAAATAGAACATTATTGTAATATTTGCTTTTAAGGTAATTTTAAGTGTACTTAAAACAAAATAAAGTATTTATCCCATTAATGATCTGACTGTACAAGATAAATGTGTTTCAACAGTAAAGCACATAGAATTAAGGAAAATGGAAATAACAAGATTCCAGCTTGTTAAGAGTTATTAAATAAGAAAAGGCCAGTGATATCTAATTTCTGTAACTTTCTTTGATATTGTCTGTATATTTTCAAAATGTCAAAAATAACTCCAAATACTCCAGTAAGTAGGAACCCAGTTGTTAGTCGACTGGTGGATTGCTTTCCGGGGGTAATAATCCTCTCCTCCCAATAAATGGTCAATGAATCCACAGCTGTTTGTGAGACACTGCTGAACGGTATTGGCTGCCGTGTTTCGCTCAGTCAATTCACTTTACAGTTTTTTTGCATGTACACGAAACAGGGAGGGACTATTCCAACACCATCGCAGCTTAGTAATGAATATTATTATTATTACTATTATTATTAATATAAGGATCTTATTCCTGAGCATGAAGTATTTTTGAAGAAACATGTTGAGGACACGTTTGTGTACTTGTTCCTGGATGAGACCACTGATTCCAGCGGGTGCAGTGTTCTGGCAGAGCTGGCATAGCCGCTGCAGAAAGATGAGGAGAAGCCTCTTCTTATTGGAGTAACATTCTTGCAGTGAGTCAACCACACCACTGTGTCACAAGCTCTGCTACGAGTCTTCGATGAAAAACAAGTTAACTTTGATAAAGTGCTTGCAGATGCCACAGACAGTGCAAGCTACATGATCAAAGAATTTAACACAATTCTGTTGAGATTGTTTCCTAACGCAACAACAACAACAAGATTACATTTGTATAGCACCTTTCACGTCAGGAGGACGTCCCAAGGCGCTGGACAGAGGACAGCATTTCAGCCCGGAGCAGGGGAAGGGAGGGGAGGGGAAGGAGGGTGGCCGATGGCATGGTCGAAGAGGAGGGTTTTGAGGTGGGACTTGAAGGAGGCTAAGGAGGGGGCGAGGCGGAGTGACTGGGGGATGGAATTCCAGAGGTTGGGGGCAGAGTGACTGAAGACTCTCCCGCCAACGGTGGGGCGGGTGGGGCGGGGGACGTGGAGCAGGCCAGAGCCGGCTGAGCAGAGGGAACGGGTGGGTTGGTAGGGGGTTAGGAGGTCGCAGAGGTAGGGTGGGGCGAGGCCATGGAGGGCTTTGTATAATAATAATAATAATCCTTGCATTTGATATAGCGCTTTTCACGTCGGGAGGACGTCCCAAAGCGCTTCACAGAATATACTGTAAAGTGAATTGACTGTATATTTGTGGGCGAACGCGGCAGCCAATTGCGCACAGCAGTGTCCCACAAACAGTCGTAGATTGGAAATTGACCAATTTATTATTGTTTGGGGTTTTTGGAGGGATTATTATTAGGCGTGTGGAGTAAGGAAACTTGCCCAAGGTTTCGCCCTGCCTGGAATTGAACCCAGGTGTCTCACTTGCAAAGCGAGTGCTCTAACCACTGAGCTACAGGACTCCACGCCCCAGACAAAAGATCTGGGGATTTAGATGTACAACTCTCTAAAATTAGCATGACAGGTAGTTAGATAAGACTATAAAAAGGCCATTTGGCACTTGGACTTTATATCCAAAGGGTTAGAATATAAAAATAATGTTGAATTTATACAAAACCTGAGTTAGATCACATTTGGTGCATTGTGTCCAATTCAGGTCTTCACACTATAAGAAGGTTATAGCAGTGAAACAAAGAGTATTGCGTAGGTTTATGAGGATGATAGCATGGCTAGCCGGTTACTGCTATCAGGATAAACTGGAGAGGTTAGGCCTGTTTTCACAAAAGCACAAATATTTAAGGGGGGACCTAATAGAAGAATTAAAATGATAAAAGTGTTTGAAAAGGTTAACATAAATAGGCTGTTTCCAGGTTGGTTGGGGAGTCTGTAACCAGGGGACACAAGTATAAGGTAGTGACACATAGGATCGAAAAGAGGATTTGGATGGAACTACGACAGAGTGTAGTGAGATTGTGGAATTCACTGTCTGAAGTGATGATTGAATCAAATAGTGCAGATGCATTCAAGAGAAAGCTTGACTTTCACATAAGGGAGAGGGGATAGAAGGGTATGGGAGCGCGTAAGGAAATAAGGGTGAAGATGTGTGGAGTACAATAAACACATCCCCAAGGACTGGTTGGGCCGAGTGGCTTGTTACCATCCCGTACATTCTTTGCAAATCTTTGTAAATCCTTGATGTTTTCTTTCAAAACTGAAGAGCTTGTCTAATCTAACTACTCCTCTGCCAAGGGGCAAGAGATCTAGGGGTATTAGTTGACACATTGCTCACCATGTCAAAACCGTCTGAGCTCCAGTCAACAAAACTGACAGAATTCAGGTCATTGTGACATGAAGGGGTTGACCAGGCCCTAAAGGAAGTGCAGAGGAGAGAAACGTCAATAATCCCCATTGTTAAAGGAGAAGTCAATAAGGGACTTTATAGAGTATAGAAAATTCTAAATGGAATTGAGAATGTAAAATCAGGACAATAATTTCAGATACAAGACAACAGAACAAGACGGCAACGGTTCAGGATTGGAAAAGAAAATTTCAGAACAGTCACCAGAAAATATTTGTATGTCTTTACACAAGGTAGTTAACAATTGGAATAGATTCCAGGAAGGATGGTGAAGCCCATAATACTGGAATCAGTCAAGAAACGGTCTGATACTGTAATGGGAGGATGGGTATTCTGGAAGGACGAGATCAAATGGGCTAAAGGGCTTTCTTTATCCAAACCTCTCAGTTGATCTTGTGATTTCTG